ATATAAGGTTTTTCGACTCGTAAGAAAGCAATATACAGCGGACCTGGTGAGAGGCAGGGATTTTTAAAATTTAGTCCACACACCTGTAGCGATTGATTCAACCATGAAAAGCTCTTTTTGAAATTATATTTATAAAGCTCACATAATTTTAAAAAAAAAAAATTATTTAAGGTCCCTGGTTCCAAACGCATAATTGTAAATATTTTTAATGATTCACAAACCTACTCATTATGTAACACACAAACTCAAATTTCACTATTTGTATTTGATTTAATTCTATCTACCCATCCAATAGCTATGGTTGCAATTATATGTGTAAGAGAAAAATAAATTAGGGACCCCGGCCCCAAAAGTAATATTTCAAAATTAATAACCTAATTCCCAAAATTTTTCGGGCATTAGCCCAACAACTTGCCAACGTTTTAGAATAAACCAAAAGCAATAAAAAAAATAGACGAAATACTTCTACTATTTTCTTATTGCTTTTGGTTTATGTATCCCTGGATATTCTGTTCCATTATTTTTGTGGATTTCATTTTTAACAGTATCAATATTTATATTCTCTGGCTTCCTCTGTTCCCACTTCCGGCGACAACAATGGATATCTCTTGAGAGGTTTACAGTTCTCTGTTCTGAGTGATTTCCAAATTTGTCATGTGTGCTGAAGAAGGCTCTATGTCGAAACGTTCTAATATCCGTGTCCTGTTCTCTATTTCAAAATTCCAATTACCTCGTTTTGTTATTTCATACACAAAGTTTAAAGCATTTGGAGAAATGGTATAGAAATGCATACTGTAACAATGATTACCTCAAAAAAAGGAAATATACTAATTTTCGGACCTGGGCCGGAACGAAATATTTTAAAGTGTTTGTAAAAATTATTTTTAAAAAATCAAAAAATTGTGGGCGTGTGTACAACAACTCAAAAAGTTTTATCGCAATAGGAAGAATTGTATAGGAGGCCATAAGGGGCATGTATACATACATTAATTTTTTAAATATGTATAGATATAGCTTACCCAATTGAAGTTACTTTTTAAGCAACTATTTAAGGAATAGTTTAATCTATGTGTCTGTCAATCTGTCTGTCTATCAAACTATATATTTCTATCTATCTATCTATCTAACTATCTATCTATATATCTATCTATCTATGTATCTATCTATCTATCTATCTATCTATCTATCTATCTATCTATCTATCTATCTATCTATCTATCTATCTATCTATCTATCTATCTATCTATCTATCTATCTATCTATCTATCTATCTATCTATCTATCTATCTATCTATCTATCTATCTATCTATCTATCTAATCTATCTATCTATCTATCTATCTATCTATCTATCTATCTATCTATCTATGTATGTAGGAAAATTATAACCCATCTTTGTTTTAAAATAAAAATGTTTCTTCGTGTAAAATGATTGAGTTTTGATATTCATTGGTATAAGTATGTAAATATACCTACGTTTTTTAACGTCATTCATTTTCCTAATTGGTAAACATATGTTTATTGTTAAAATGAGAATATAGCATATATTTTTCACAACTCTAATATCATTGGTTTGAAAGATATTGTCATCAACGTAAAAATGGGCACACCTTATTTCATACCCCGATGTATATGTAGCTAAGAAGGTTAATTTCTTTATCAAATTTACTCTAAGTCGTATATTGTGCTGCTTCGGGAAAAATAAACGTATCGCATCACTCCCCCCCCCCCTTCACACTTTTACAGAGTTGAAAAAATTAATAAAATCATCCACAGTATTGTAATTCCCTTAATTACGCAAAAACTTAAAGTTATGAATTTCATATGCTTTTTTTCTTTTTTTGATGAGTGATAATAGCATTAGTAAATGCTATTTTGCTTTTTAGTTTAGCTGCACTGTTTACATTAAACGGTATTTTTCTTATTAAAAAGTTTATTTACATGTTAAGTTTTTACTGCTTTATAAATTTCATACAAGTTTTTTTTTTTGAATGTTAAAAATAAAAAGTAGAATTTTTATAGAATCTTATCATATGTTTGCATTTAAAAAGCAATCTATTTTATTTATTTATTTCAACTTTAAGAAGGGGCAAATACTTTATCAGTTACGTAGCACGGGATTATTATATTAAAGAAACTTGAGAGTTTAATGACGTCATTAGCGTGTTTATTTAGATTGTATTCCTTTTTATTTTATATCGCACTATTAACAACGCATTAAAAACACACCTAAAAACAATTTATGTTTGGCTTTTCCCGATATATATATATACGGTGTAATTCTTTGATCATAATTTTTAAATTTAATTTTTTTCATAGCTTTCAAACGCATATAGAAAGCTTAAGACAGTTATTTAGTTGTTACTAATATTGTTATAATAATAATTCCTAATCTTTTACTAAAATAATAGTAATAGCGAATATATACTATTTTTCGTGAATTGAAATTTATCCGATATACATAAAATAATAGAACATAACTATGATCATGTTAAGAATCAAAACGTATTTAAATTGTTTCGATTCTTTGGCGTTACGGTCATAATCTCTCATTCTTTTATCTATGATTTTGTTCACACTTCTCAGCGAGCTTAATGTATCGTAATTCATATTTCCTTCGTGACGATATATTTATTGCAAACAAGGCATCCATGTTTTCATGTTTACAAAATAATAACCTAAATTATAGTCGCAATAACCACTTCACGTTTCCATTTTATGCTTGTGATCTTGCTTAACCTTGAAATTCTTCTCTATTACAGTTGAAAGTAGTGTAAGCTATAAGTATTAAATTCGATCAAATTAACGTAACAGGTAAGGTTTTCTATAAACCAATGGTTCTGAAAGTGGATATTACCACCCAGCGAGTTGGGAGTTAGGATATTGTTGTTGTTCTTCCGTCGAAGTCGACTTGGACCATCATTTCATCAGGCTAGGAAGAGGGTGGGTTACGGTGAGCTCGTGTGTGGCTTGCTAGACCGATCGGTGCTAGGAATAATCTCTGGCACCGCGGGAATGGGATAGTTGCTGCTGATAGTGACCTAATGTTGCTCTTTCAGACAACCCTTTGTGTCGGAGCTGTGGTTATCCAATTAGCTTCATGGGATTTAGCCCCTTTTTTGACAGCTGCTCTCCACCTGGCTCTGTCCTGGGCTGTCTGCACCCATTGAGTAGAGTTGATGCTGAATGCCTTTAGTGCCACTTTCAGTGGGTCTTTGTAACGCTTTTTTTACCTTTTTGGGAGCACTTGCCTGTCGTAAGTTCTCCGAAAAAATTATGTTTCTGGAAATGGTTGTCTTCCATACGGGCTACGTGTACCATCCAACGGAGTTAAGACTGCATCAGGGTGGTGAAGATACTAGATAGGTTCACTCTAGCGAGGACCTGTAGGTCAGAGACCTTCTCTTCCCACCTGATACCGAGGTGTTACCATGGATGGTTGTGTTAAATTATGATTCAGTTTCTTGTTGTCCTGAACTCGGGCCATTATGTCATCATGCAGCTGACGGATAATGTTGTTGATTTTCCACGGGCCACCTCTATTGACCTTGTCAAAAGCCTTTTTCAAGTCGATAAAGGATGAATATTGGTATGCATTTTGTTCCTGGCATTTCTCTTGAATCTGCCTAGCAGCAAACACCGTATCGATGTTTCCACTTTTTTGTGTGGACACCGCATTGACTTTCGGGTAGAAGACCTAGCTCCAGATGTGCATTCAGGCGATTCAGAAAGGCTCGGGCCAAAATCTTGCCTGCAATGGACAGCAGTGAAATTCCTCGGTGGTGTTGCACACCCTGTTATTTCCTTTGTGTTGGTACATTTGGAAAATCGAGGCATACTTGGGGTCTTGTTGTACAGTTTCCGTCTGCCAGATGATCCGGAATATATGCAATAGCTTCTCCGTCAGCGCTGGTCCAAGCGCGTTTCTTAGATTTTGGCAGGATCATGTCAGATCCAAGTAATTTTACATTGGACATTTGGCGGATTGCTGTCTGTATCTCATCAAAAGTTGGGACGATGTCAAGTGACTTGTTCGTTGGGAACTGGGGGAACCTTTCAATAGGCCTCATCATTAATGTTTGAAGGCGTATTTAGCACACTCTCAAAGTGTTCTGCTCATCTTTTCAAGATTTTCTCCTTATCTGTAATGAGTGTATATCTGTGTGCACTAAGGACAGGGGATAAGAATCAGATAGTTCTGGCGTGATATAAAAGGCTTCTGGGATTAAAAGGGCGCTGGGATCATTTCAAACAGAGGCGCTGAGGAATCGTGTTTTTATGCATGTAAAATAATTAAAATGAAGGTATGGCTGTATTTTAAAGACTAATTTGAGAGTATTTTGAATAAAAAATTAATTTCTAATATCATAAAAATGAGACGCATTCTATTAAACCACAAAGTGTATTTCCTAAATTCATTTTTAGCACAAGTTTGACAGGCGTTGTTTGTGACGTACTCCCAATTCGTCTGAGATCGCTAAGAAAGTTTTGAAACAAAATTATTTACTTTTTATATTTGTTTTTTGTTTTTAAATGTTATGCAGTACGAATTTGTGAATTAAAATTTGGAGCATTTTTTTTTTTAAATTGTAATACTCAGTAAATAATAAATTCAGTTTTACACTTTAAAATTAATATTACTATTACATTAATGAGTTTCCTTATCTCTTATGCTGATGTAAAATATGACGGGGTTGGTGAGAATATGGTCATAAAAAAAGGGGGGGGGTGAATACGAAAAAAACACGCTTGATCAACACTGTTTTACATAGCTACTTGGTCTGTTTTAAACATAATCAGTTTGCCAAAGTATTGAAAACCCAGTAGGTCTGTTATGGACTCACCTACTGTGTCTGTGATACATATGAATCGGTTAGTTAAATATATATTTATTATGTATATACGTTATGTATGTTACATTCATTCTTTTGGTATGTATTGTACTCACCAAATTGGTCTGTTTCATCGTTAGAACGGAGACCAGCAATGGTCATATATCTATTCAGCACAGCCCTAGCTGATGGTGTGGGGGCAGTTTGTGAGCCAGAGACAATTTCATTGTCATCAACGTCTTCAATAGTCTCCCTGGCAGGAGGTTCGCGTGAAAGAAAAAGGAACACCTCTCGAATTAAATCATGATAGTATCAACGGGTTAAGTCCTGGATGTTTTAAACAACTGTAATGAAATACCTTTTTCTGTCCTGTTATAATACTTAGTGTACATCATGAGTTGTGGTTTAGTAAGTAATGTACGTCATGAGTAGTGTTGGTTTTGTACTTAAAGTACATCATGAGTTGTGGTGGTATTATACTTATTGTACATCATGCATTGTGGTGTTATTGTGCTCTAGTGTACATCATGAGTTGTGGTGGTATTGTACTTAGTGTACATCATGAGTTGTGGTGGTAGTGTACAAAGTGTACATCCCGAGTTGTGGTTTTGTACTTTGTGTCTATTGGGAGTGTTGTGTAGAGTTTAGGATTAATTAATTGGATCATAAAATACAACCACGATATTAAATGGAAAATGGCAATAGAAAACAATATTATTGCTAGGGACTGACCTGTTTCCTCTTCTCTTTCTGACGACCAGAGTCACCACGACGATAACAAAAATTATAACGGCAAGCACGGCAGCAGCAGTGACTCCAGCTATAAGAGCAACTTTTAGAAACTCTTCTTCTTGTTTATCTGTAGCCTCTAAAATAGAATGGACGTAGGAAGTGGTCACGGAGGACTTAAAGATGTAATGATAGACTAACATAAATTTTTGTTGAAAGATTTAAAAATGCAATATAAATAATAAGATGTAGCCTGCCAAACATTGGCGACAGCAAAGCGTGTACTTCCCTTCTACTAAAGTTACTTGACAAAAACGTGAACTCGTGAACATTTAAGAATGATCATTTTGCTACACCCCATTCCCCCCTTTTTCCATGATATGTCACTACATACTTTTTATTTCATGCCCATGAACTATAGAAATATAGCCGACCCGCTTCTTAGCATACGCCGCGAGCTCTGCTGGTAAGCCAGGTTGGTGCAGCAGGGTGTCGGTAGCTCCAACACAGTGCGCATATCTCAAGACCAACGATTAGCAGGTAAGGGAGCGGGGGGGGGGGAGTTTGCCTAGGCTTTGCTTGCTTTGGTGTCGGTAGCTCCAACACAGTGCGCATATCTCAAGACCAACGATTAGCAGGTAAGGGAGCGGGGGGAGGGGGGAGTTTGCCTACGTCTTGCTTGCTTTGGCGTATCTATATATAGCCTGCGTCGTCTTCTCGTTTGCCCTACTTTTCGCGAATAAGATATAGATATTTAGTGCAAGCAAAATTATTAGAGAAAATAGAAAGAATTTGTTAGTTCAAAGGAATGTTTTAATTGTAATGTTCAAAATTAATTTTTTTTAAACATTATTAAAAAGCTGCAATATCTATTTTAGTTGAAAGAGAAATGAGTTGGAATAAAAATGTTCATGTTCTTTTAATTTGATTTAATGTATTTCTCTCTACAGGAACCCCCCCCCCCCTTTTGTTTTCCGTGCATTTAAATTTGAAAATAACTATAGAATTTTTTTATTAAAAAGCTGAAATATTTATTTTAGTTGAAAGAGAAATGAGTTGGAATAAAAATGTTCATTTTCTTTTAATTTGATTTAATTTATTTCTCTCTACAGGAACCCCCCCCCCCCCTTTTGTTTTCCGTGCATTTAAATTTGAAAATAACTATAGAATTTTTGTCTTGAGGTAAGGGCAAAAGCCAGTTCATCACACCCAAGAAACACACTACACGACCCTTAAATTTGTGCTCCTATTTTTTTTTATTTCTCTTAATGATCTTTATAATAGCCACTTTTGAGTCTTTCTCTTAATGAGCCTCATTTTTACCACGCGTGTTTCTTTTAATAACCTTAATTATTGCCCCATTTGTGTCTTTCTCTTAATAACCTTAATTATTGCCCCATTTGTGTCTGTCTCTTAATAACCTTAATTATTGCCCCATTTGTGTATTTCTCTTAATATCATTATTGCATCACCTACAAATAAACTTTATGAATTTATAATTTAATGTTTACCTGGATCTGTTTTAAAGACTCCAGCGACCTCTTCACTCCCATCTCCACGTTTATTGTATGCAGTTATTGTGTAGTTGTATTGTGTATCAGGCGTTAAATCTTTGATGGTCAGCTCTGGTTTGAACACCTCGTAAGACTTGCCTCCAACAGTTATGTTGTAACGTGCTACCCTCCCTTCAGAAGGCTCAAATCTCAGATAGTAAGGAATGTTGTGTAAGTTGCTTGAACTTTCGTTGAGTTTACCTGGTGGGGCTGGTACTAGGGGAGTACATTAGAAGGTGTGTTTGTAGGTTGGTTTTGTGCAGTTGTGGGAACCAGGGATGTCTTCCACTGATGTTCTTCATTTTTTAAAATTATAATTTTTTTTTTTTTAAATTATTTTTTTGTGTTTTAATATCGGAAGAGGGTTATACGGGAACTATCCTAACCATAAAAATATAGTGGAATGTCCCGTGAAAAGATTTAAAGATCAGATTTAATAGCATTCTGCTACTTTATTTTTCAACACATCAAAAGAGAGTAATTCTAATGCACTTATTTATATCCGCCTGTGTTCATCTTGGGGTGTCGGCAAGCATGAACTTAGTTTTAATTTTATTATTTTCTTTTGAATATTGTAAGTTGAAGTCTCTGTGTGTTTAAAGAATGAAACATTTTATTTTTAAAATGTTCATATTTACTTGAACTACTATGCTCACAGTTAGTTTATTATGATGCGAATATTGCTCTGTGAAGAACTGGAAACTTTATCACACACATAAGATAAGATTATTTTATTGATCCAAATAAATGGAAATGTTTTTTGATAGCATTATACATTTTCAGCACAAAAATAAAACAATTTCAACACAAGACATTTATAGTAAATAATTTCAAACAGTCATGCAATGAGTTCTCTTAGCAAAATCGAGACTTATTAGTTCTCATTCAGAGGTGTGACTTCAGAGGATACTCGTCTGTAAATTCGTACAAATTGGGGAACAAAAGAATGTTTATATCTGTCAGTCCTCGCACTGATAATTTTTGAATGTTTAAATATTCACTAAAAGTCCAGTGTTGGGACACCCCCAAGTCCTGTTTTAAAACACCATAAGTCCAGTGATAAAACACGCCTAGTCCAGTTTTGGGAAACTCCAAATTCAGTGTTGAGAATCCCAAAGATGAGCTTAGAGTGAGACGACACCTGAAGCCCATACAGCTAACACAATGTAACTGTGGTTAAACTGTAACTATTTATGTCTTAAACTGTGTAGAACATGAATTCAAATTATCAGAAAAATGTTATCAATCGTCTGCAAGGAATGCTTCAAACTTACACTCAGAGATTTCATTTTTTTTTCTTTCAGTTAGGAATTTTTTTCTTTTGTTTTTAAAAAAAGTGGTAAAAAATAAATTATCTTAAATTATTATATTACCATTGAATTTCTAAATTACACAATTGGTGTTTGAAAATAATTGCAGTTTGAAATATTAAATTCAAACACATTTGCCATACCTTAGTACTACTTGACTTTTCCACTATATTAATCCCAATTTGAATAGTAATAATCCTTAGTGATATTTTTATGGTGATATTTTTTACGGTTTGGAAATGAAAACGAAATCAAGAAGCTCATAACAAGGATAACCTTAACCCAGAGGACACGAAATCTCTGAAATGACAATAGACAGCTGATACCAACAACTGTTATATTAATTTTTTTTTAAACATTATACAATAAAAGTTACCCTTTGTTACCATATGGTTGCCACGAAATTTGGTGACATAAACATTTCATAGACAAACTACCAATGACTTAGTGTTGCTGAATTCAGATGAAGCTATTATTCTGCAAGTGGTGTAAAGTTATGTAAAGAAAATCAAAATTGTTAGCAAATTATCAATTATGCGTTGTTAACATACGTGTTTCCAAAGTGAAATGTGTAGAAATAACGCTGTCGTTGTAGTAGTCATTTCCTTGTAGTGTTGACAGCACTGTGAAGTTGTATTCTGTTCCTGGCGTTAGTCCCTGTACTTGGACGCCACTTGGACCTGCTACCTTTCCTTCACTATCGCTGCTGTCATTTGTGGCTACCCAAGTTATCGTATACGCTACTTGTTGATTAAGTGTACGTGAGGTCCAATTAAATGTCACATCTTTAGTTAGGATTTGCGGCTGGCTGTTTAGAACAACAGACAGTTGGAAATCTGAAAAACCAAGCATGAACGATTTATTCGAACAATTATTTCCAATGAAGATATATGAAAACAAAGGGATACACTCCTTCTATTTATTTATGGATAATCTATTTCATTATATATGTGTATGGGAGTGTGCTAACATGTATTAATTCCAAAGTTTCACATAAATACTATGTGGAATACAAAATTATTTATCTATGCACGTTTTAAAAATTAAAATTTTCTTCCAATAAAAAGGGACCTTCCATTCTAATTTCAAAGAAAAAGTGAAAAAATGTTTCTTTGGAAAACTGTTTCGTCCGTGTAAAATAACGAAAAACTGGACGTTATTAAAGTACAACATGATTAAGGTCATAAAGGATATGAATAGTCCTTGTTACGACCGCTCTCATTAAATAAATGTCTGTGCTTCGAAATTTTAAGTCTCTTTTCTAGAGGCCGTTCAGTTTATCAAATCTTACGATGGTTATACTCGTTACTGGCAATGTTGTCTAACTTTACTGCCACATGGCCATGTTTGGTCCACATTCAAGGCCAACACATAACGTTCGATGACAGTAGATATAACAATTATTCATTATCACAGGAACTGTCATTTCACCAAACGTTTTCTATTGCAACAAAACACTTGCGATTGACATTCCTAACCATCACTTAACACGCCGCCGTTTATTTACCAATACAACAAACGTTCAGCATACACTAACTCAGCATCACAAAATCTCAGCAAAAAAACACACAGGATACATCAACTCATCATATACCAACTCAGCACCACAAACACGCAGCATACACTAACTCAGCACCACAAACACGAAGCATACAACAAGTCAGAACCAAAAACACCCAGGATACACCAACTCATCATACACCAACTCAGCATCACAAACACCCAGTATACACTAACCCAGCACCACATACAACAGAAATAAACTAACTAAGCATCAAAACACCCAGCATACACTAACTCAACACCACAAACACTCAGCATACACTAACTCAACACCACAAACACTCATCATACACTAACTCATCACCACAAACACTCAGCATGCACTAACTTAACACCACAAACACTCAGCATACACTAACTCATCACGCAAACACTCAACATACACTAACTCATCACCACAAACACTCAGCATACACTAACTCATCACCACAAACACTCAGCATACACTAACTCATAACCACAAACACTCAGCATACACTAACTCAGCACCACAAACACTAAGCATACACTAACTCATCACCACAAACACTCAGCATACACTAACTCATCACCACAAACACTCAGCATACACTAACTCATCACCACAAACACTCAGCATACACTAAATCATCACCACAAACACTCAGCATACACTAACTCATCACCACAAACACTCAGCATACACTAACTCATCACCACAAACACTCTTGTCTTTGGTAGTCCGGTCTACAGTACTCTAGTCTTATGTACTCTTGTCTTATGTAGTCTTGTCTTATGTAGTCTTGTCTTATGTAGCCTTGTCTTATGTAGCCTTGTCTTATGTAATCTTGTCTTATGTAGTCTTGTCTTATGTAGTCTTGTCTTATGTAGCCTTGTCTTATGTAGCCTTGTCTTATGTAATCTTGTCTTATGTAGTCTTGTCTTATGTACTCTTGTCTTATATAGTCTTGTCTTATGTAGTATGGTCTTATGTCGTCTTGTCTTATGTACTCTTGTCTTATGTACTCTTGTCTTATGTAGTCTTAACTTATGTAGCCTTGTCTTTTGTAATCTTGTCTTATGTAGTCTTGTCTTATGTACTCTTGTCTTATGTAGTCTTATCTTATGTAGCCTTGTCTTATGTAGCCTTGTCTTTTGTAGTCTTGTCATATGTAGTCTTGTCTTTTGTAGTCTTGTCTTATGTAGTCTTGTCTTATGTAGTCTTGTCATATGTAGCCTTGTCTTATGTAGTCTTTTTGGAAACATTTGAAATGTTGTCATTGCAACTTTTCAATGAAAGACAAACAAATATTTTAATGCTTAGATAGTTATAAATTAGTTCCATAAAATCCAAATGTTAAGTACTGTATTTCTGTTTTGCCATTTTAGAAAAATGGTACATTTCTTGATGCATTATAATACCATGTAGAAAAAGTTCAAAGTGTTGTGATACCATATAGAATAAATTCAACGTCATAATACCAAACAGAACACGTTAAAAAAAAAGTAGTTCCACACATCACAGATACACGTATAAAAAGTATGGTCTAGTTCAAAGATTTAACTTATAATGGCGAAATTTTCTTCAAAACAAAAAACTAACCTGATGTACAAAAGGTCCCATCGCTGTACATCCCTGATGTACACAGACATCTGAAGTCACCCTGCTTGTCCGGACGACACTCAAAATATAGGTCGCTCCCGCACATTCTTTTAACTTGAGGGTCACAAAGGCTTCTATCACCAAAATCTATTCATTCAATTATCAATTAAAAAAAAAATAAACGTTTGGCTATAATATAACTTAATGACACAGTCATAATTATAATGTTTGAGACCATCCAATGCATTTCATCGTTCATAACATGAATCACCAGAACCATTATGATCCAAATGAAACAAAGAAAAGCCAACATAACTATAATTACGAAAGCGGATATGTTATTAGAGAAATAGCTGTTGCTTCATGTTTTCTTGTTGATCCAACACAAGTCTTTTTTTTTATTAACATTCATCCTGTTTTTAATGGATAAAACGCTTAGGTGAGATAGACACTACTTTATAATACGTGCTGTTCTGCTGTTGCAGTTATTATTATCTGGACACCAAGGACTTATATATATATATATATATATATATCAGAATGGGGTCTCTTAATCATACTCCGGAATAAAACACACCAATGCAGGCCGGTGTTATTTTAGAGCGTAGAGCAGTGACGATATCACAGTCTTACTGTTATGTTAATGCGTAGAACATTCAGGACATCACAGTCCCAGTCAGTTATTATTTCAGAAATGTTTCCCCGGTGGGGCACTAAAGATTTTTTTTTTTGG